AGCCATTCTTGATACGACTAATTCTAAAGATTCAGGAAATAGGCCTGGAACAACTGTTAGTGGAACGAGAGTTTTTGTTGGTGATCTCTCCTGGAAACTTTCAGATAAAGAGCTCAGAGCAGAATTTAAACATTTTGGAACTGTAAATGAAGCGCTTGTCATTAGAGATAAAAATACTGGTAAGCATATACGGATAATAGCTTAAGGATAGTTTATTGATTCTATCTTTTAATTGTAAATTATATAAGGTCGAAGTAAAGGCTATGGATTCGTTTCTTTCGAAGAACCGCATGCTGCATTAGACGCAATTAAAGCAATGAATGGTCAACCCATTGATGGTCGTCCTATACGTGTTGAGGCTGCCGAAGAACGACCGATCGATGATCGTTATGAAGGAAAAAAAGATCATATGCAAGATTATAGGCGACTAAATGACTATCGCAGAGACATGGATCACGGACGAAAAAATTATTATGAATTACGTAACAGAAGAGAAAGGGACTTCGATTATAGAAGTGACCCTCATTATAGGCGAGATATTAATCGTCGATTTGAGAAAAGAGATATTGATGATCGGAGAGAAAATGAAACTCGCCGTGAGGTTGAATATCGCAGAGACATAATGCGTAGGAGAGATAACGATTTTGAGAAACGTGATAGGGATATTGAACGTCGAAGAGAAGAGTTTGATAGTAAAAGGGACAGAGGAAATCCTTTAATAGAGCCGCACGAATCGTATCATTCCTCATCAAAGATACAACCAGGTAAAAATCTGTCTCGTACCGATAAAGATCATGAATATGAGCGCGCTCGAACAGATGAACATGTTAATGAAGAAAAAGATGATGATATTGGCAATCAAAAAAATCATAAACATGAGCATGTTCATTTGCATGATTCTAAATTATCTGGGAGGAGCGATAATACACTTTACGACAGAGAAGTATATTCAGAAAAGGAAAAGGACAGATCCAAAAATAGTCGCAAACGAGCACGTTCCAGCAGTATACAACATAGTG